TGGTAGCCTGAGGGCCCCCAGGCTGGCGTGGCCTGGTCAGTCCCACGGGATCGTCCGGGATAAACCAGACCCGTGTGCTGGAAGGGAGAGCTCTCCACCCTGGTTCTTTGTGTGACCCCACAGAGGAGTGGCCGCTGCTGCCAGCCCCAGCCCAAGCTTTGCTCCCCCTTGCAGGGTGCACGATGCCTGGCTGTCCAAGCACACGGCGGCCGACAGGAAATCCCAGACCATGCCGGCGCTCCGCAGCAGGGCCGGCGTGCGGCTCCAGCACCTGGGCAGCTTGGASACATCCTTCACCCTCAACCACAGTACGTACAGCAGAGCCAGAGGGGCCAGGGAGCGGGTCAGCCTGATGKAAACTGCCTGCAGCCCTTTTCCACTTGCTGCTGGTTGCTTCAGGTTATGCAAACTCTACAGAACTGCAGTGGTCGCCTCTCCTCCCTGCAACATTCCTGGATGGGTGGGGGTGGTATTTAAGCCAGTCCTTTAAAAGTCACCCCTGGGACTTAACACCTGTGTGGCTTTCTCCCTTTGCCTGTCTTGGCTCAGCTCTTGGCTGGGTTGCTGTGCAGGCACAGCCTGGGTTTGGGCAGTGAGCAGGGCCAGCAGGAGAGCTGTGCTGGGATCTGCTCTGAGCCTCTCTGCGTGGGTGCATTTTGTCCCACTGAAGCACTTCGCCATTTCCCCTCTCTGGAGACAACTTGGACACCACCTCATGCTCTGTCTAGCTTTAAAAACAGTCATATTAAGGGGCAATACTGACTTTGTTTTTTTCACGTGGCATCAAGCTGAGGCAGCTTCTCTGAATGGAGTTGGCAAATTCAGCATCTTGCTACTCTTGCATCATTTTCCAAGCACACTGAAGTGCAAGGGGAGAACCTTATCTGTGTCAGCACTTAGATCTTTTGGGAGCTGGAGTGTTCAACACTGTTTCCTCCTGATTTTCTCTCTGTTCACAGATGCAGGTACCTCAGAAGCAGATATTGTGCACCAGGCGTTACTGGAGGGCAATATTGCCACCGAGGTGTGCCTAACAGTCCTGGACACCATCTCTTTCTTCACTCAGAGTTTCAAGGTCAGCACTGAAATYGAAAACRTTTTAGAAAATTGTGCTSTGTTTTTGTGCATATGTGGATTATRGTGATCTGTTMTCCTAGAGTGGRAGAATATGAAAGCCTTTACCAAAGCAAATTGTCTGCAGCTTGTTTGTTTTCTGAAACACTGACTGTTTYAGAGGGTSTCAGAGTAATTATGTCCTTTTGAAATCTTGCCATTTTTTCAAAACTGAGGTCGGAGAAAATCGCATGTATGTTGTACCATGACTATAGGCATTACAAAAATAGAATAAGAGGAAATGTGCATGGCATAGAAAGGAGGGACTAGAGGAAAGGGAAATGAACATCCAGCATTTTTAGAACAGTCATTCTTTTGTACCCTACATTACCTAGAAACAAGGCCCAGATTTCTCTGAATTGCTGTACAGGAATATCTCTGAGGCTGGGGCTCTCCAGTTGTGGTTACCAATACAGGCAGGACCAGAACCACGGGTAGAAATCTTCTCTTCCATATGGGATTTGTGCTTCTGGCAATCATTGCCATCTGCAAAAACCACAGCCTCTGTGGTGAAGAAAATCCCAGGCTGGCAGCAAAATACTGAAACACTGTTCCAGAAATGCTCTTCCTAAAGTGTAATTAGAGGAATGCTGCATGTAGCCAGCTCTAGATTTGAGAGCAAGCACAATGAAGATTTCCTTTTTGGATGGATTGAACATGAAGAGAAAGCTCCACATAGCCTCTGCTTCTGTTGCAGAGTCAAAAAGCCATCCTGGTGCAGATGTTAAATTACTCCCTAGAAGTTTGGTAACAGCAAAAGKATTTCAATGCAACAGTTGAAACTTGCTTGACTTTCTCTGCTGCCTCTTTTTGAATATCACTGAACCACAAAGCAATGTGATTTTCAAACCACAGGATGGACTGGATTCTCTTCTGCTTTAATGGGCTTCTGCTTTGTTTTTATGGTCGCACGAGTAGGTCCTGTGCTGCAGCAGCAGGGCTGGTGCTTTTCTGCTGCCCCAGTAAATGAACTCCAGGTAAAAGTCTGCACCCTAAACTGCCCACAAGATCTGCACTCTATCAGTAACCCCAAGAAATTCCATTTTACCCTGTCCCCACAAGGTGCAAGCAGACAACACTCTGCAAGAAACAAGGGAAGTGTGCTAACCACAGCTATGAATTTATCCACTGAAAAGATGTGATAATCTTTTTTTCCCCCTCCCTCACTCTTTTGGGCTACAAATGGAACAATTTTTAAGACAAAAAGAAATGGAAAAAACCGGTATGATCGTTACATTAGTTATAGCATGTTTTATTTACAATAACTAGGCAACCAGTGAAAATTGCACAGATTATTTACTTAGGTTGTAGAATTAGTGAGGCAAAAGTGATAAACTATTTTTTTTCTCTCTTTTACAAAAATAACCTCTGCTAACTACTGTAAGTTTGGCGTGATTGTCACATTTTATTGGTTGTATTTTTACTGAGGGGCCTGTTGCTTATCTGGCTGAAGAATTAATGTGATTAATTATGCAAAATTATCTGTCATTTCCAGCTTCAGRTGCACTTCTGCAAAGTAAATTCTCCTGTTCTTTCCAGACCCAGCTTTTAAGCAATGATGGCCACAATCCTCTTATGAAGAAGGTTTTTGATATTCATCTGGCTTTTCTCAAAAATGGGCAGTCAGAAGCAGCCCTTAAGCACGTATTTGCCTCTCTGAGAGCTTTCATTAGTAAGGTATGTATTACATGACGTGGGTGGGGGAGAGCCTGTAAGTGTGGCAGAGAGGCCATACTGGTTAAATTGATATTTTGGGGATGTGTTTTAGAAAACAGCTTCAGTGATTTATGAAACAGTTCAGGTTAAGTTCTCCAGTTATTTATTATTTGTTGGATATCAGGAAGCAAAAGGAGAAATCATGAGGGATTCCTTCACTTGCCTTGGTCACAAAGATCAGTATCTGTTGAACCAAAAGTTGGTGCTTGAATCTTTGCCCCAAACTGTCAGGATTCCTCAAAATGCTGTTGCTTGAGTAATGCATGTGCTGACAGGCACCTCCTCACACACTGCCTGTGAAAGATGAGAGTTCTTGCTGAAACTTTCTGTGCTCTGAGTCCTGGCARGCAGTGAGGCTGTTTAATCCCCTGAGCTCAAGCAGTGACAGAGCCACAGCTGACCACAAAAGAGCTGTGGTGATGCTATTGCTGACAGTGCCCTTTGTGCTTGTCAAAACCTGCCACTTGTCATAAGTACATTTTCAAGAYCTGATGTACACGTGAACACCATTCCTCCCAAGCTGCACTGTTATCATAAATACAGAATTAGTTAAAACATCCCAAATCCCTTGAGCTCAACACTTCATTAATGAGGAAAATCCATGGCAGGAGATTGCAGCCAGGCAGAGCACAGTACAAGAGCAGTAAGCAGCAGAGTGACTTCCAAAAGAGCTTTTGCAGTTGCAAAGTCTGGTTAATGAGAGACTGCTAAACTGTTGTTCTAAGGTGGAAAAGGTCTGTGCTTTGYGCATTTTACTGTAACTCCACAGCAAACCTAAGAGCTGGTGTAAGTCTAGGGCTGGATTTTGCCTTTTGCTGAGCAAACACATGAGCAGCAGAAATGCAGAGCTCTTGCTGGCTCACTATCTGGCTCCAGTCAGCRTGGTCTACAAGGTGTTTTTCCATGGGGCTTCTTAAAGCCTGCTAGATTGGCAGCTGKCAGGGGCAGGAACCTCAGTTTTTCTGCAGGGTTCAGTGCATGTCCATTGCTCTACCTTTGAGTTTTCTGCTTTCCTGTGGTCTGCTTAGCCATGAGATACATCCTGCTACAAATCTGCATACACTGCACTTTCCTCTTTGCTAGCCAAAAGTTTGTTTAGCCAGAAATATTTGTTCTATGCCTATGGCAAATAACAGACATTCCTTGCCTTCCTGTGGGTTTTTTTTTGAATGTGAAGCCAAACTTTCACACCTGCTCAAKTTGATCTCACCATCAGCCTTCAATGCCTGGAGCCCTTCAGGGGTTCCATTYTTGCTTTCCACAACACTGATGACAGCAAGGAGTCTGTGTGCTTGGCTGCTGCAAGGATGGGCAGTGGGAATTTTTTCTTGGATTTATGGTGGAGCTTCATATCATGGGCCTTTGTGGACATGAAAGATTGATTTCAGCTAATTTCTCATATTTCCCCTATGACAGGACATATATGGCTTCTGTWAAAGCAAGATATGAGCCGAGCAGATGGTATCTATAAGGAGGAAGTGTTTTCTTTACCTATTCCATAACCACAGGAGTTCCAAACTTCCTTTTAAGTCCTGTCAAGGGTTCTTTTAATGCCTGAAGTGGCTGTGGTGGCTGAGGCAGGTTGGCCACTTGTATTTCATGACAAGTGCAAGGATAGCATATTTTCCTACAAGTTTGWTTTTAAATACTAACACTGCACTACTTTGTAACTTCAAGAAAAGCAAAAGTGAGTTATACCTTTGTTGCAGCTAGAATGGAAAATTTCTCATTTTTATGGCCTTCTGTAACTATGATTCCAATGAAAAGAATCCCCCTATTACCTGTGGTCACAGCAAATGGTTGCTGGAGGGAGAAAACTCCTGTGATGTATTCTGCATCCCAAAATTTGTCTTCTGCATTAAATCCAGTTATTTGGTAGACAAAAGACTCTTAAAAAATTTAAAATAAATGTTGCAGGAAGGCAAAGAACAAAAAAAAAAATCTATAATTGTTTGCATCTTTGGTTTTGGTTGCATGCATGTGTTTTGAGAATTTGGGAAGAAAGCTGCCTCTGTTTTACTGGCTGGTAAGAACCAGCAAAAGCTAGATTGTTCTTGTTTCATGCTCCAGGTTTTCTTAAGAATGGAATCTGCCTTTTCAGAACATCACTTACACATAAATACATATATGCATGCTTGAAAATGGTCTTTAAATTAAAGGTTATAAAGGAAAAAATGCATAGAGTAGGGGTCTGCATTAAAAAGCAGCTCAGATGGATGTGGGTGATGGAAGCCCCAGGTCCTGCCTGTCCTCATGGCTTTCCTGCCCTCGTGTCCCTTTGGGGCCTCTCTGGGAGTGGCTGCTGGGTTGACTCCTGCTCTGGTCCATTGTTTTGGGGCTGGATAAGAAACAGGCTCCTCCAGTGTGCACAGCCATCACCACAGGGGCTGTTCCATGCTCTCCCAGAGTGTGTTTCCTGCCAGCTGGAGAGCCACGGGCAGCACCTGGCTGGATTTGCAGCAGGCACAGACCCATGGATCTGCTTCCCTGAACCTGGCACCAAGAGCCATTGCATCTGCTTGGGCTTGGTTTCCAGAAAGGRACACGGGTTCCCTGAGGAAAGGACACAGGTGGTGTGGAAGGGAGTGCATAGGGCTCCTCCTGCAGCAGATTCCCAGGCAAGGGTTCTGTCCCTAGCAGTGGGTTGGAAATGCCTGGAAAGCCKCTGCAGGCAGGCAGTGTCCCTGCTGAGAGCAGGTGGCAGCTGTCCCTGTGCTGTCTGTGCATGCCCAGTCACCCAGCTGTGCCAGCTGTGCAGCTCTGGGCTAAGCCCAGTGCTGACCATGATCCCGTCTCACTCTGGTGAGCGATTGCATTGCAGTGGGCAGCAGGTCCTTGGGAGCTCCTTTCCCAAGTGCACACAAGGTTTTCRTGGCCCTGTGTTATTATGGTTTTTGTTTGGCTCTTTCTTCCTCCCTTTTTTCCCCTGAAGATATTTTTTAGCCAAAGGCAGTCAACACAAAGTATTTTGTGTCTYAATTTCTTGGTGCAATCCCAACATCTTGCTGGCCACAGCTCCTAGATCCCTGTTTTAAGACCCTGTCACCAGCATGCGATGGTGGTGGCCTCAGCAATATCTGCGAGTTTTCCTGGAACATACATACCAAATGCAAGGAGTGGAGAGCCACAATAACAGCTCCAGGCTCTGACTGGAAGATGTGARTGAATACACTGGCAGTATTTGCTGTCATCTCCCATGGCAGAAGGTGGTGGGGCTGAYAGAAGTGGCTAATGGACCGTGCTCCATGAGAACTGTGGGGTCTCAAACCAACTGAGCACATCTTTCCTCTGAACAGATCAAACCATGGTTGCCTCTGTTGCCTCCTTGTGCCAGGAAACTCCTTGGGGATGGTTGCCAGCTGCAGCAGAARGAGCAGTGCTGCTGTGCAATGCCCAAACCTCCTCAGCTCCCTGKGGAGGTGTTGGCATCGCCCCTGCGCAGCAGGTCCCTGCGGTGACGGCTGCGTGCCAGCCCAAAGCCCTTCCCTGTTCTGCTTCCCTGTGCTCAGCCCGCTGTGGCCAGGGTGGAAGGAAGCTGAGCGTGCTGTCGCCTCCCGCCAGCCACCTCTGGTGACCGCAGCCAGACAGACACACCCTGGCATCCCCAGCAGGCAGCTGCCCACCGAGGCAGGACTCTGCTGCAGCTGTCCCTTTCCAGGCAGGGCTGAGCTGTCCCCTGCTTGTGCTCAAGGGTTTGATGAGGGGACAGAGATGCCACCAGGGTGCTGGTGTTCCCCTCAGCCTGCCGCAGGTCCCTGAGCCCCGCTGTGACCGAGGGAGCTCATGCTGTGGTTTGGCTTGGTCCTGCTGCTCCCTGGCTGGCTSTGTCTTGGGGCCAGGGCAGGTCACTGAATTTTAGGCTTTCAGGGACAAGTAAGTCTCTTGTCTGCATTCCTGAGCGCATGCAGGCATGATTTTCGATGGTTTTGGGGGATCACATAGAAGTCCATTGTGTTGATATGTTGTAGATATGTGAACATTGCAGGTCACAGGTTTTCCAGCGAGGCTGGGCTCCTGGATGGGCTCAGATGGATTTTGTGATGTTCCAGATAGCARCTTTGGTGGGACTGTCCATGGGACCTCTCCTTCCTGCTCCACTGCTGGTGATTATGGCTTTTATAAGAACATAATTCTGTSTGTCCAATTTGCTGAGAATTTGCCAATAAACCCAGATGTTATCRGGGAAGGGTTAGATGGACATAGACGATCACATCCCCAAAAGTGTGACAGCAAAGTTCACATTGCTCTAGGAAACATGGTTAAAAATAGGCCCCAAATTCAGTCCTACAAATACTTTCAGGCTCAGAATTCTGGCAGAAGTTTTGCTGAGGCTGTCCAGGCTGGAGCTCAGTGTGTTGCCCTGTGCCCCAGCTGAGCCCTGTGGATGCTATTTAATGGTGTATTTTCTRATATTTGCTTGTCTCTCTTGAAGTTTCCCTCAGCATTTTTCAAGGGAAGGGTGAACATGTGTGCTGCCCTCTGCTATGAGATCCTGAAGTGTTGCACTTCCAAGGTGTCCTCCACAAGGAATGAAGCCTCTGCTCTTCTGTATCTCCTGATGAGAAATAATTTTGAGTTCACCAAAAGGAGAACGTTTCTGAGAACGCATCTTCAGGTCAGTGGCTGRAGAAAAGCTAGAGAGCAGGACACCTCAGATTTAAGGAATACAGCAGTAGAACTCTCTGACCTCATACCTGCAGAGGATCCTGACATTGCCATATGGACAAAAGTCCTCTTGCTTTCCAGGTTTTGCCTAATTCTCCTTTCCAGTGACTGGTCCAGGCACCTTGGGGTAAAATTATTGCTATCAAGTACTCCAAGCTGTTGAGTTTTAGCGGATCAGACACAAGACACATCTCTGTGCCAGAGGCTGGCTGGGATGGGGTGGCAAGGACAGCTGCCTTTGAGGCAGGAGAAGGGATTTCCTTGGAGCTGCTTTTTTGGCATTGTTAGTTTTTGAAACGAATGTAGATACCTAGTGTCACAGATGAATACCCTCTGGGTTGTAACAAATCTCAGGAGAAGATGAATCTCAGGTTGTAATGAATCACAGAACTCCAAACAGGGTTTCATATGACAACTGTTGGATTGTTRGTTGTGTTCAGCAAAGCAGTTTGGTCCTCTAGGGAATATTTGTCCTTGGGAGATGTGAGAGMAAAGCCACAACGCCGACCGCTGCTTACGTGGTGGAAAAGATGTGGTGTTTTCCTGTAAGCATTTTATCAACTGTGACCTTAATAAAACTCTTTTACTAGGGCTTTTTTAATTAAARCCCCTGCCTTATCCCAACAGATAATCATTGCAGTGAGCCAGTTAATTGCAGATGTGGCCCTCAGCGGTGGGACCAGGTTTCAGGACTCCTTGCTCATCATTAACAACTTTGCAAACAGCGACAGGCCCATGAAGGTGAGTTGGAGATGTCACCTCCTGTCATRTGCTATCAGCCACTCACGCAAGGCTGGGGACAGACTCCAGGAAACCGTGTTTAAGGGTAGGACTAATGATTGGAATTGTGATTTGTAGGCTCACAGTGGGCTGCATTTGCTCAGTAAACAAGTGCTATGCCAACAGCAGTAGGACCAGCTGCTCAGGCAGTTTGTGCTCCAAACGTGAGGCTGAGCTCATGCCAGCTCAGGTTGTGCTTTGCAGTGTTCTGCTTGCAAGGTTGTCCAAAGAGCTTTCCAGGAACTCCCAGCTTTGGGAAAAGTGACAAGGGAGGGTCTGGTATTTCTGTTGCCTGAAGGTGATAGTGAGCAGGAATTAGTTTTAATTAATTGAGTGCCAGTAATGTTAAAAAAGCGCTCTTTTTTGGAGATTAGTGTTTGTATTTCTTCAGAAAATAATTGCCTGGTTTTGTGCTAGAATTAGTGGTTTGTACCCAACCCACTGAGTAACTGCAGCTTGCTCCAATTCACACAGAGTAGCTGCCAAGGCAGGATAGGGGAAATGGGAAGTGTTTTTACAATTCCATGATTATCCTATGCCTTAAAGGTGTAATAGGAACCTCCATTAGGTGTTTAAATGTGATCTAACAAATTTATAGGTAGGATATACCTGGCAAAAACCGCAGTTCTTTTCCATGTAGACAGATGTTGGTAAGAGCTGCACTTTCACTGAGCCATACTTTTAATTTCCATCACGACATGATCATTATATCGAGTTTATGCATTTGTGTAAGTGCAAGAGTAAAAAAGAGATTTCAACACACTGGAGAGGATGCCATGCACAGCCCCAGCAGCAGCTGGGGAACAGTAGTCTGAGAATCCTGTTTTCCACAGCAGGCAGGTTATAGTGACAAGGTCAGGCTCTTCTCAGAGGTGTGAAGTKCAGGACTAGAGGCAATGTGGGCATGTTGCAGCAAGGGGAGTCCCAATTTTGCTTAAGAAAAAATTATTTCCCAAGAACATTGTGCAGCCCTGGAGCAGGGCCTAAAAAGGAGGCGGATTTTCTCTTTTAGGAGATTATAAAACTTGGCTGGACAAGCCTTGCTCTAACTCAGTGATGGCCCTGCTCTGAGCACGGGATCAGATCAGAGCATGTGTTTCTTTCTCCACTACATTCTTGTGGTGGGAAGCTCTACAAATGCCTTCAGTKCTTTAGGAATTTAAGAGAGACCACATCAGAGCCTGACAATCCAGATGTTGAATGACATGAAAAAACAYTGGAATATGGTTTGTGGTCTCATCCAGAGACTCATGCCAGCTCCTCAGGATGCTAAAGTGGCAGCCTCAGTGGGAACAGCCAGCCTGGGCATGACCTGGAGAGACTGGCCCTGTGTCGTTACAACTGAAATGCCTCCAATTTAACTTCAGTAAGGAAGAATTTATTAGCCCTATCTACCATGTTCTCAGTGTTTCAGATAGTGGCRTGTTGGCTGAAGGGGTCATTCCTTGGCAAAGCCTGTATTTTCTTATAAGCTTCTAACTCAATTTGTTTTGTGTCAGGCAACTGCTTTTCCTTCCGAAGTCAAAGATCTGACAAAGAGAATCCGCACAGTGCTCATGGCTACTGCTCAAATGAAAGAACACGAAAAGGACCCAGAAATGCTGGTAGATCTCCAGTACAGTTTGGCCAAGTCTTATGCAAGCACCCCYGAGCTCCGGAAAACGTGGCTGGACAGCATGGCCAAGATACACGTGAAGAACGGCGACTTCTCAGAGGTAATTTGTGCAGTTAGAAACGTGGTGCACAACAGAACAGATCTGCAGGTGACATTTTGGCAACTTCTCTTTGTGCTTTGCAGGCAGCCATGTGTTATGTTCACGTAGCAGCCCTCGTTGCCGAGTTCCTGCACAGGAAGAGTAAGTGTCTGCTGTTTGGGAGATAATGCAGTGGTGGGGTATTTCAAAGAATCTTTTTAAAGACAAACTTCTCTCAGTTTGGTTAATTTTTATTTTATAAACAAGCTAAAAAGGAAAAAAAATGCAGTGGATGAAGCTAGAAGATGATGAATATTTTTTAAGAAAGTACTCCAGCTGTTCATAACCACTTACTTAGCCACGCTGGCATGGTGCTGAGTGAAGTAAGAACTGACACATCAGGTCTTGGTTTAAATGTTCACTTGTATTTTACAGTGAACATTATATTATTAACACTGTATTTCACTATATTAGGTGATGTGCTCACAGGGGAAGCCCATGTTAAAAACTGACTCAATATGAGTATCAGAATTATTACTATAGGCAGTACAGAAAAATATAAAATAAAGCAGTCAAAATTCAGTCAAAAACTGAGACTATAACTTAACTATATACATATGTGAAAAACAATCAGGAAAAAAGGAGTTTTGTGGCTTAGTGCAAAATAGGAAGGAAGGACAGACTTGTGTGTTCTCAAGTTACACCACATTGCAGGTTTTCTTTTAAATACGTGTTCCACAGTTGATACATTGACCCCATTTCTCATTTCCATATAAGGGAGTAACTGTTGAAGTGGACCCTTAACATTTCATAAAGTTAAGGCTGCATAAGATTACGTGCACTGTCTGGACTGGAAAGGTCTTCAGTGCCCTGCTCAGGAGGCTTGGAACCCCTCCAAGTTCTGTACTTTGTCTTGGCAAAATGGGAAAGTTAGGATTTGTTCTTGTGATGCATACACACATTCCACATGGCTGCAGAGAGGAGGGTATTGAAAGCTGGCAATGTTTTATTTGTACACAAAGGCTGCTTACCACAAGTAGTAGTAAAGGAGAACTCCTAAAAGGGAAGAGGAACAAGTCCAAAGGAATATTAAATGAAGTTTGAACATTGAGTTATTTCTGTCACTGACRCTCTTTACACATGCACAGGCTGAGCTACCCAAAGTTTTGGGGTACCTACCTGTGCTTCTTTGCTAGGAGYGTACACTGCTGTCTGCTTACCACYCAGCTCTCCAGCAATTGCTGTATAGGATAGAGTTAATTTTYCTCCTTAGTAGCTGGTGCTCCTGTGTTTGGATTCAGTGTGAGAGTAATGTTCACAGYACATTGATGGTTTAGCTGTTGCTCAGTAGYGCTTACACTAATCAAGGATTTTCAGTGTTGTGCTGTGCCAGTGAGGAGCTGCACAAAAACCTGGGAGGGAGAACAGCTGAGGCAGCTGACCTGAACTGCCAAAGGGTTATTTCACACCTAAGAATGTCATGACAAATTACATTGGGGACTTACCTGGAAAGGGGAGCCATCTGGTAATGTGTTTGCAGAGGTCAGTAGGTGATAAGCAACTATGCATCACTGGACTTTTTTGAGGTTTATATYATTATTATTATTATTATTAYTATTAYTATTATTATTATTATTATTATTACCACCACCACACTTCAGTTTGTTTCAGTTATTAAACTGTTCTTATCTCAACCYGTGGGTTTTACTTTTTTCCCTGAATCTCTTCCCCATCCTGCCAGGGCTGGGTGGGGCGGTGAGAGAGCTGCTGAGTGGTACTGCCTTGMCAGCTCAGGTTAAAGTACAGCAGTATGACACATTTGAGATAATTCCACTAATCTATTTGCTTTTGTGTGCTGCAGAGCTCTTCCCCAGTGGATGCACTGCCTTCAGGAAAATCACTCCCAACATTGATGAGGAAGGTGCAATGAAAGAAGATGGTGGGATGATGGATGTACATTACAGTGAGGTGAGGTCCTGTACTGWTACAGGTTATTTGACATCTGAGTAGGATTTAATTTTAGCCTTTGTTCATGTGAACTCTAAACAAATCACAGTTGTGCACTGGCATCTGTAAACACGACTGTTCCTCTGCAGTTACCCAAGAGAAATCTGCTCTGAAGGGTTTTCTGTGTGTGATTCAGACAGGTAAAACTGTTKTAAGTTCTTGGTTCCCATGAAAGACTTTTCTAGCACTGAGACTGARAAAGCTGCACCACAACCTTTGCCTGCTGTGTTAGACAAATGCAAATTCTTCCAGCACAAGGCAGCACAGCTGGGTGTGGTATTTCCAAGGAGGGACTGAATGAAGTCAAGCTCTGCAAGTGAGAGGTCAGCTTAGGGTCCTCTGGAGGTAGGGCTGTGCTGCAGGACACCATGTTAGCAGAAYCATCCAGAAACCATAGCAAGGCTCTGGGGAAGTGGGTAGATCCCCCACGAGTCACAAAGTCTTGCAAGCACTTGTGCACCATCCCTGTGCAGCTGTCCTGGGTCCTCACAGCTGAGCAAGGGGCCCTGCAGCCCAACTGACCATTCATCGAGACCTGAGGACCCTGAACTGRCACTGCTATTGCACACATGTTCCTCAGACGTGTTCCTTAGACGTGCACCTCTGACCTCCAGTGCTGTCATCTCCGTGCTCTCACGGAGTTTTTGAATTTTCCAGGGGAAGTAGCTAAATAACCAGGACACGCATACTAGTTATCGTGCTAACGATTCATAAAGAATTAGTGAACTTTTAAAAAATAATTTGTCTTTTTTCTTCTTCCTCCACCCCATAAAATTTAGAATGCTTTTAGAAAGTCCAGGAATGCACAGGATTTAAACTTGTGTAGCTGTGACTCCTTATTGTGGGACCTGATAAAGTATCTGAAGTTGACATGGTTTTAGCTTGGACTGTTACTAACACCCCCCATTTGGTTGCTCTCATAGGAGGTCCTGGTGGAACTGCTGGAGCAGTGTGTAGATGGCCTGTGGAAAGCAGARCGTTACGAGACAATTTCTGAAGTTTCCAAACTGATCATTCCTATCTATGAAAAGCGGCGTGAATTTGAGGTGGGTTATTTTGAACTRCTTTGCATAGAGCAGGTAATTTTCTAGACTGCTAAGAAAAAACAGGGGACTTTTTGTTTTTTGAAGTTATGAGTTAATGAACTGGTGTCAGTAAAACATGCATTTGCTTCATTACTTGTTGTTAAAGAAATCAGTGAAAGCAATGATCTGGAAGGTAATTACCAATGTTAATGACACGGACAACCCAAGCTGAGTGAATAATTACCACCTTCCTTCCCGTAAAATAAAACTGATATCATTCCATATGGTAGATTCTTTCTGAGACCTGAGGTTTTTAAGGGTTAAAAACAGAATGAGAACTGTTCAAAGAAAGGACTAGACCTGTGGGTAATTCAGTGGCAAGTGGAGGAGAAGGAGGGAAGCCGTTCCCAGCCTTGCTCCTTCCCCACCACCTGCTGTGACTTGTGCTTCAGCTTCATACTGTTCCCCTTTCCCTTKCTCTGCCATGACAGAACATCCAGCCTTACAACTGAAGCTGGGAGAAGCCATGTCTCAATATATACTTTTTGTTGTAAAGCTGTTTTTAATTAAAAAAAAAAAAATCTGGATAAAATATTGCAATCTGCTGTGTCTGTGAAGGCTTGGTGTGGGAACACGCTGAGACAGAGCACTCAGCTTTCTCTCCAAGGGTAGTGGTGTTAATGCAGTCTTTGGTACCCTGCAGACCTGACACCAAGCATGCACCTGAGACCACGTTTGTGAAAAAARCCTGCATGAGTTCACCCTCCTTAGAAATTCAGGTTTCAGTCCTCCAGAGGATTRTGTTCAGGTCTCTCAGTAGCTTCCAGTGGTAGCCAGAATGTCCTGCTTGCAAAATCCTGCTTTCATCATAATGTYGAAACCTGATTTCCAGAAACTCACCCAGCTGTACAGAACACTCCACGGAGCGTATGCCAAGATATTGGAAGTAATGCACAGCAGGAAGAGGCTTCTTGGAACTTTTTTCAGAGTGGCCTTTTATGGACAAGTAAGTATATACACTGGCTTGCCAGCTGCCCCTTCCCAGGCATCCTGGCCCCAAAAGCTGCTGCTCTGTCAGACCTGGAGCTGGAAAGCTCCTCTGGCACAGCCACCAGCATGTCTGTGTGAGCACACTTGGGGTCTGGGTTTGTGTCTGTCTCCAGGAGCACTTGATTTATTATAAAGTTTATGATTCTGCTGGTAGGCTTTTCATAAAACAACTCAGCAGTTAGGAAATGGCTTAGTGGGTTCAGAAAACACCRAGGAGGTTTTGTAATTATAGTTATTATAGGTCGCACAGACACAACTTAGTGTGTATGGTACATAACCAGTAACATATATAACCATAGCATATAAATAGTAGTAGTAACAGACATTTTTTTCTRCAGAAAATTGCTGCTCCCTTCTAGGTATTAGCAGAGTAAAAGGTTACAAGAGAAGCTGGAGGCAGAATATCTATCAGTTTTGGTTACACCCATGTAGAGATAGGTAATATTTTTGTTAGGTGGGGTAGCTGGGAAACTGAATGAGATCTGGAGCTCAGAGTCGCAGGAAGGGGCATGATCTTATTATATCTCATGAGGTCTTCCAAGCTTGAAAGATGTGGGTTTTTTTTTTTTTTTCTCCACCTGTAGCAGTTAATTTAATAGTGTGATACCCTTATGTCCCTTCTGTCTGAACAACTGCTTTGCTTGTGGACTCATCACCACGGGGGAGCTGCAGGACCCCTCTTAAAAAAGCACCATGTGAATTTATAGTAGCCTTGCCTTTCCTCATTCCTTCTTCCAGAGGAGRTGATGGATACTCCTGAAACCATCATGAGTTTGTACCTTTGAATGCCACTGTCACTGCACACAACATATCCGAAAACTGACTTCTACTGCAGCAAACATGCATTTTGTATTAAACCTCATCTCCTCCACAGCTTTGGATATGTACAAAGTAAATAAGGTTAGCAACAGATAAAAGGAAACAACTGCTAGCATAGTTTTCCAGAAGCTGTGGAAATAACTGGACCAGCCCCTAAAATTAAGCTGTGTAGCAATCTGAAAACCAGTACTTGATCCAGTTTTGCCCTTTGAAGCTTTTCTGGCTTTATGTTCCAGCTGCACACAGACATCTTAACACTGTGTCACAGGTTCTGGCTGGAAGAGCTCACCAAAGCGTGAAGCTGCCATGCTGTTTCCATTATGGGCAGTGCTGGTGATGCAAGCACAGCCTTTGATGCAATTTTGTCTCTGTTTACAGTAAATACACCACATCCCACTTCCCTGAACACAAGAGGAATTAAAGCACAGGAAACCCATTTCTTTTTTTGTTGCTTAAAGTCTCTTGCAGCCTATACAAATTCCTTAAATTCAGACCATTTCTGTGGTTCTGCTATCRGGGCTTCCTCAAATTACATGTCTTTGTGCTCTTTCTCTGTGCCCTGTTTTGTGGTGTTTTCTCCTGCCTGCCTCTTTCCAACCTTCCAAAAGGTCAGATGCTGGCCAAACCATCGTCTACATTGTTTAGATTTCGCACTGGTTGTACTCAAGTAATGACGTGTTGTGTTTGTGTTGGTTGAAGAATTTTATATTTTTTAGACCATTTTTGAAGTAACCTATTAAAACAGGCAAAGTTCAGTGAGATTTTGTGAGCCATAGCCTTMCAGACCTTCTTGGCTTACAGAAATGTTAGCAGAAATTTGCTTTCCAAGTAGCAAATCTGAGATAAAAGTTTGCCAAATGAAGAAACACAGCTATTCCTCACTTCTTTCTTTTTTCCTGTGGTTAATGCCAGACGTTCTTTGAGGAGGAAGATGGGAAGGAATACGTCTATAAGGAGCCCAAACTGACAGGCCTCTCGGAGATCTCCTTCAGACTTCTTAAACTTTATGGAGAAAAATTTGGGTCAGAGACTGTAAAGATTATCCAGGATTCTAATAAGGTACAGTTAA